GTTAGCCCCTGCAAATTTAAATGATGAATTAATTGCGTGACGTCAATGGTAAACTGAGGCGCTATCAATAATGATATTTATAAGTACCGGTAGCCATTATTACAAGTACCGTATCAATATTTGGCTGAATGTATTAAAACAAATACATATTAGGCCAAATGTATAAAGCTTGGTATTGTTAAACACTTTAGATTGGCAAGAGGTCGGGTAGCAACGGGCCGAGTGGAAATGTGCCTAGACCACTTTAGCTTGATTAACTTACAGGCTACATATAGTTTGATAGCCCTGATTGTTCCAGGAAGGTGAACAGATAAACATTGCTGCTAAAATAGCACTAATCAGAAATATTTCTAAGATATATGCACTCTACAATCACATGCCCATCTTCTATAGGGCATCTTGCCAACAATGTATTTCACAAATTTTGCTCCAGTCCCTTTTTTTAGTTTTTTATGATTTTATTTTTCTTTCTTTCTTTTTATTTATTTATTTTTTTTTTTTGCATTTTGATGTACTTTTTAGCTTTTTAAATGTTGTTAATTTTAACCTTTTTAGTGTATGTTTTTATGTAATGTATATATTATATTAACTTTTATATCAAATAATTTTTAGTTTTTTTTATCACGAGCTTATGGTAGAACTGTATTTTATTATTGAATTTGTTTTCGTGAAAAATAAAGTGACTATAATATACTCTAAACTGTACCTGTTTATTTTTGTTGCAATTAGTAATCAAATTTGGCCATGTAAAAATTAACGTAAAATTAGGTACCGGGAAAATGTCTTGTTAGGATTTCTCTAACATGTCCGCACTTTCCTCCCGGTACCGGTATGTGTTATTCGCTTAACTACGATACTTTACCCGCTCCTCCTCCATCCCCATAAAATAAATAAATAAATAAATAAATAAAGTGTTAAAAAAAACATCAGGTCGATTTTCGTATACAAGTTTGTTGGGGAGACTCGATTCTGGTTGACGGGAGGAAATATTGAGAGCTTAAATCCTTCTGACATTTGCCAAAAAAAAAATAAATAAAAAATCAGAATCGGATCTTCAAAGTAATCTAGTGTACTACTAAATTAAATATGTATAATGCATTTCTGGTTAATTTAATTTTTATTAGCTAAAAACTCAAAACGTTACAGGCCTATATACTGTAACGTTCGTGAACGTTGTGGGTAGGTTATGTCTGAAAATTGAGTTTATTATCCAGTAACGTACCGTAAATGTTCGAATAAGCGCCGCGGCGCTTATAACATTTTTGGTGGCTGCAGTGCGGCGCTTATTCGAGAGCGGCACTTATAAAAAACATATTGGCGTGGTGCTTACCATGCCTGTTCCCATGTTACCTATCTCACGCATAGTTTAGTAGGCCTATCATACGCCCTACGTCATCGTAAATAAACGTTTATAAAGAAATGCTTGTGTCTTCATTGTGTTGTTTATTCATTTTAACACTGTATACCTTTTATTTAAAACCCTGTTTCTCAAAATTACATCACACAGGGCAATAAACCATCAATCAAGCGCCTCGGCGCTTATTCGAGAGTGGTGCTTATTCGAGCTTTTACTCTATGCTCCAATAATTTAAAGATTACGTTATACATAATTGTGGCCCGTATACAAATAACTTTTTGACATCAAACTGTAATGTTATTTTAACGTTATAAGTTAGAAAGAGTTTTAACACATCAGAGAAATGTTAGGCATTTATACCAAGAATATACGTACAGAACAGTATATCATTGCGTCTTTTCTCAGTTTAATTTGCAAAGAAATTACACCTCTCATTAGCCTATTAAATTGAGCTTAATTTTATACAACTGTAATTAAAACCTTAGATTTTATAGTTCAAGTCCATTTCTGAACACATAAAGTAAGTATTTAAGTCAATAAAATCATCAATATGCTTTCTGTATTATAGTGGAGCTTAAGATAAAGCTATACTATACCAACGTGATCTTATATACAGTGTATGCTCCTTACGACTTTTCCAGAAATACAAGACAACTGCACCAAAGACAGAAAAACGATAGAGTACAAAGTAATGAAGCAATATGTATTTAAACAGAGCGGTCTATGCACAGAAGTGCATGTATTTAGGTCGTAGGCCTATATAATTCTCGTGTAAGTCTGAAATTCCTAAGGGATACCTTTGCTTGTATGTTGTAGTTTACATGTATTTTATGCGCGATTTGCGATGAATAATTGACCGATTGTGTAACACATCCTAGTATCTTTAATCCAACATTATAAATACATACTTATTGTATGTTATACGTTAATAAGGCTGTATTAGAGACACATTAACTATTATCATCATACTGCGTGACTTAACTTAAAGGATTACCTTACGTCACCGTGTTTTGTCTGCGTGTACACGTACAGTATGAGCAGACAATTAGAGCATATGACATTATACGGAATACAACGCACAAGAGATTGACATGTAAACACAATATACGAGCGGAAATTTTAAGAAAACAACTTTACGATGAATGATGATGTAAATGCATCTCGTCTATTTATAATCTCAATGCTTTAATAAACACGTAATTTGTTGGGATGAATTTCCACTGTTCGATTATAATAGTACAGTGTGCGATTAATGAGAATACGATCTTTAGAATTAATTATGTAGACTTAATGTATAGTATGAATTTAAACGCCATTGAAATCAAATTTTATTTTAGCAATTTATAATTTGTGTCCATAACAATAAAGTATTTATCTTATGCCTATCGTATTATTATCTCATATTATTTTATTTTTACTTTTCTTATGAATTATTATTAAGTACAAAGTATTTAATAAAAAATTAATAGCTAGAGAAGACAATACTTTAGTATAATGTACCGTAATGAGTTAATTAAAGAGTTGATCAATACTGTTTATATTTTAACTTGTTTTACCTATTTATTGTGACCATCGTGGTTTCTTCATTATTGTTTTAGAGATAGTCATACAATACTACTAATAGCCATATACTACTACTACTTTAATATAATAAATTAAGTGATAACACAAGAAATGCCAATCACCTTTCATGGATCATGAGAAAAGCCAATGGTGTCTACCACTTGGCGTCATAGCTCAGTTGGTAGAGTATCCAGACGGTAATCGGAAGATCTTGGCTCGAATCCCGACGTGGTCATGTTTTTCTCAAATACTTTGGACTATTTATCATCTTTTATAAATGTTTGTTTGTTTGTTTTTTTTGTTTTTTTTTTAGTGAAAAGTTATGTTAATATAAACCTCAAATTGCTTTTTTAGGTCAACTCCGGTAAGCCCTCTCGAAGTTTAACATGTTAATGTCGAATGACATCACATATTGTCTTGTAAATAGTATAAGTAAATGTTAGTTATTATATTGAGTGAGCAGTCCACCTTTCAAAAAATGAAAATATTCTACTCATTGCACTCACAAACGTTGAAAGATTGACTGCTTCATTGCACGAAAAAACATTCATTATATATTTCATAATACGCCTCAGATAGATTGTGTTATTTGATATCTTACAAAAAAAAAAAAAATTCTGTCTCTCAAATGGAACAGTCCATCTTATTGCAATGAATGAAAACAATTTATTATGGATGCGTGCAATAAATATACATGAGTGGAACAAAATGAATTAAAATTGACCTAAATTACATAAAGAATGACGTCCGCAAATATAACAAATATAATTTTAGGTTGCTATTAATGCCCATGTCACGTGATATTAAATATAATCAAATGACAAGGGTATATTTAGGTGTATTTATAAGCCAACTCAGAGTTTGAAATGCGCATGCCCGTATCAAGATCAATCGATATAAACAAGTGAAACATACATACGCTCAACCTCAACATAGGTTTATCCTATTGACCTTGGATACGGGCAAGGCAGTTCAAACTACGAAATGGCTTATTGAATTAATTCGGTCGGCCCTCATTAGAGCTCTCAGAAGCTATCCATACCGTAAAACACAACATTTTAATGACAAGGCTTCGTAAGTGTTTGGAGGATGGTACAGTGGCAGCACTTGATTCAAATCATAATCCAACCACTGTGGCTGCTCAGTACGAATCAAAGAAATAATTCAACCAGGACAATCCTATTGGTATGGCCTTCCTAGGGCTCTGCCTTTGATTCGACCTAGAACGTAATGACGTCACTAATACAATTTCAACCTAAAAGTCACATTATTATGTCATAAAATACACTAATGATGTACATTATTCTATTCTCGTCTTAGACGGGTAAGAATAACTAGTATATATTAATAATAATAATAATAATAATAGCCTAATAATAATAATAATTAACCATTATCAAACGTTCTCTTACTTTAATTGAAAGATATTGCCATAACAAGAAAAACGATACATTAAAAATATTTTAAAAAAATCTTAATCGATCAGTATATGGCAATAAAGCAATGTTTTGGTAATTTGAAGTAAGTGAACTTTCGTAATGATGATTATTCTCTTGCCCCTTTCATTTTCTGCAGTTTAACCTGATGAATGATTTGTGAGTGAAGTAGTCTATTTTGCATTCATTATAATTCCGCCTGTCTCGTAAGGGGTTCTGCCGGTGGAAGCAGAGAGTATAAATAGTCCTATTTTATACTCATTGGATTCGTTGCGTGCGCGTCGTGCCGTTGCGTTCTTCATAGAATCGCGTCAGCCAACAACCATCGGGCGCAGCGAGTGCCCGACTGAAGATATTTCGGCTTCTCTCTTTGGAGCCCTGTTCACTTGAACAGATTTTTTTTTTTATTTATTTATGGCAAAAATTGGTTAATGTACAGTGATCTAAGTTCAACATTATGTTCAATAAGAAAAATTAAAAAGCTGAGTTTCAGTAAACTAGAATTGTACAGTCTGCTGTTCATATGTTTGTATGTCGTAGTTTTGTATCCAAAGTGACTGGTTCATTTTAAATTAAAAAAAGAACAGGATGGCGACGCCACTGTAAGGCCCGTTTGATTACTATACGCTAACTATTTCTTTTAGGTCCAACTGATCCATCGAAACCTGGAAAATTCGACCGGCCGTTTGAAAGTCATAATAGTGAATTTAATTGGCAAAAACTACCGAATGCTTTTTTCAACGTTTTGTTTGCTTATTCTGGGTGGTGAGTATATTCTCCTTCCATTCATCAAACGTTGTTATAATTATAAAATCATGTGACGAAATAGCCATCAACATGTAAGGCCCTGATTCTCAATCCCCGGACCGCAGTCCAAAAACGCGAACTCTGACCGCGAGATATCAGAAATTTAAATAAAACAAAATTGTGTGAATTGTCTGATGTCTGTTGCGGACGAGTTTTAGTTTCCGAAGTATCCTCACTGATGATACACCCCTGGTTCCCAACCAACGAAGCGTGATCCAAAACCCACCACAATTAAGCTTCAACATTTAGAGGGGAAAAAAGAAATAAAGAAACATCAAAAATTTGAATTTTAAAAGAATTGTTGACTGAATTTTCTGATTTCTTGCGAATCAATCAAACTCGACCAAAAACGGGCCAAGAAATTTCATTTCCCGAAGTTCTCCCAACTAATGAAGATACAGTAGTAACAGCCTTATGGGAAATTTCTGAACTACAGGAACGTTATCAGTGAAGTCCTGTATGGGTTCACGTTTAATAAAATGTTGCGGTATTTTTAATCATACAGAAAATGTAACATAACATTAATAAAACAAATAGATCAATCCCATGTACAGTTTATGTTTAATGTCGCTGGGTGGGGTAACGTGGTATAAATATTTTGATGAGTTAATTTGATAACCTATAAATTAGCACACTTGCAATACAATACTGTACATGTTGTGACAACTATATTGATACGTGCCTATTTCATTTGCCTAAATGAGATTTAACGTTAATATATTAGGTGACCTACAGTTATGGGCGTAATAGATAGCACGTGGCATCAAAGTCGGACGTACACCTGTTCTAGAAAAATATTGATTAACTCAGTAGGCCCTATCGAGTTTATCGTCAAGACCCGATTACTCTATCCGCAAGAAAACACACAATAATTTTCAGACCTCTTGAAGAGTCAAGCATGGTTAAAATCAATCTTAAGTGTCTATATGGTCTATTGATCTTTTAAAAAATGTTTTGGTATATAGACGGTAGACATGTCATAACGGCTTTTATTTTAACGTCGATTATTTCCTCTATTTCATTTTCCATGCTAAAGATGAACCCACGTTGTTTTTGAATTTTAAGTGCTGTATTTCATTAAGGATGAAATCTGTATTTTTCCATTTATCATCCACTAATTTTCAGTTGCAATTTAGACTATTTGTATTCTCAATAATTATTCATTTTCTATAGTACTACGCAATAGTCGTATATATTTGTCTTCAATTCTTGTTCGCATTGTTTTGCCTCTTTCTTTTCTCCTTCTGTCTTCCGTTTTTTGTAATCTGTTTTGGGCTCTGTTCCCTTTCATTTATTTGAAGAATGTTACCCTATGGAGTTTTCTAAATGTTTTCCTTTTATCAATTGGTTTAATGTGTGTTATATTTTATAATTGATTCTTTACATGGATACTGAACCAGCTTTTTAAAAACTATTGAAATGGCCTAATTATAATTCATGAATTTCTCATACGATAATGGAAATTGAAGTAACATTAATGCATTTTGACCACATTGTACTTATCATTATATTGGCAGGCAGTTTTATGTGCAGACTACGGAAGAGATAAGAAACCCTAATAGGTAAGAATAGATGCAATTTATCTTTATCCCACTCATCAGGTAAGATCTATAACTCCTAATGTCACACTCGTGAGAATCATGTTTGGCATGTTTAAAGTTCCTCGTGCGTGATATTGTTTTTCAAATTATCTATAACATGCTGTAGCAGCCTATTTATCTACCATTGATATTTTAAAAAGTTCTATTCTGTAATGCCGAAGGAACTTAGTAGGACCTATATTAGATAATTATTGTATATAGGCCTCATTAATTTTAATGAATAGAATAATTTATTATGTGTATTATAAATCATCAATCTTGGTATAATATTCAAAATCACCGATACCAAACACTAGATTTATAATTCGTTTTACATTTACATTAATTGTTACAGGGAAATTCGAGACTAATATCTTTGTAGCGACCCACATTTAAACGCGTCGGTACGTCGCAAAATGTTGCATCTATTATAATTTACGTCCTTTCCTATTACACGTCATTTAGTAGCCGGAAGAACACAAAATATAAAACTTGAAATGATCGCATACCGTATTTCGGTTTGATTTGTACCGTATTCCCGATACTTAGAAAACTCAGTCATATGGAGAAAAAGAAAAACAACATCACTAGATAAAAAAAAAATGAGATTAAGATTGATGTCCTATTCTTGACTTCTTGCGTCAGGAACTTTACTGTACCGTCGAATAAATCAATACATAGTGACTCATTTATTAATATAAATGTTTATGAAAGAAGTCGGAAGTCGGCAGTTGATTGACCAGCGCAGACGATAGTCGTGCAGTGGGCCATCAATATTCGTTTTTGTGAGCGTTTTAAAAATATTTTCTCCACTGCAATTTCCACGCAGCAACTGTTCTATTAATTGGTGGATTCTGTACATCTATCTCATTCGTTGATTAGGCTTCATTTACTTAATTGTATTTATAGAATTAATTTATATTCGTAAGTACTCATTGTACTCTACTAATCCACTCCTCTATGTATAAAAGCATGTAGGCCTATAGTACGTTCTGCATCGGCAACAATAAAACAATAGTAAAACGCATGAATGAAAGTGTATATTGCTGAACTTTTAAGAGGGATCGCATTTCATCAGGCGATGCCCGAAAAAGTTTGTGTTTTTATCATTTATACATAAAGTAGTACGGATATAACAAGTAGAAACGTATGCGTTCACATTATACCGACATAAAGTATATTTGATCGATTATTTCGAAAACTCATGTGGCCTTTCTCAGTGATAGCATGTATAGAAAAACATAGGCCTGGTCAATGTATTCATTAAAAAAAAAAAAAAAAAAAAAAAAAAAACAGAGAACAAATTTATTTTTATTCCATTACCTTTATTAAATTAGGCTCGTTTTAAAATCGTTTACATGTTGCAATCACTGAGCAAAGGACAAGGTAAATGACATGGGTGATTGACATGTGATCGGGCCTAATGAGTTCTAAATGACAATGTCATCCATGTTTTTTCTTTTACTATGCTATGTCTTAATTTTTTTGCTTTTCATGCTATTTCTGATTTTGTCATTCAAGCATATAATGACAAGTGTTTTCTTTGGACATAAGTCGTGCATGATTGATCTTTAATCCGCGCGATTCGTCATATACACTCAGTCATCAACTCACTAATTCCTCTTGACGATATAGGCCTAAATTTAACTATCCCGTTTATGCAGACCTCTACACCTGTCCATATTACGTCTTATATACACACCCTGCCTTACATTTGAATCCGATCTCGTTTAAGTACGCTCCAGTTTGTGTTTAGGTAAGGGAATGTAAAGTGCCATGCCATTCATGTAATTGGTTGCACATGCACTAAATCAACAAAATTCGAAAGGGACCTTCCGAGTTCCTGAATTTCCATGATAATTATCTCGGAAACATGAAATAAAGCTGTGAATTATTTCCAAGATAATTTACATTGGAAACAAATCTAAGATAATTTATCTTGCAAATCCATCTTTCCAAGATAAATTATCTTGGAATTCCATCTTTCCGAAATAAATTATCTTGGAAACAGCTTTATTCCCTGTTTCTAGAATAGTTATCTTCGAAACTCGGAAAATTGCAACGTCACTTAAGCTTCGGTATGAAGATAATTCAATCATTCTAATAACGAGAACAAAAAATAGATAAAAACTTGCACCATCTTGAAATATTTATGTAAAATAAGTTTACTTAAAGTAAAAGTATGAAGCAAAAATGAAAATCATATAATTATTAGGTCTAATATTCTGCGTTCTCGTTCAATTACGGAGCGCATCGAGTATAATCTCTGCGCAAGCGTAGAATGTTGTCTTGAGCGTGTCACAATCACTCGGATGAATGCGAACTTTAATGACTTCTGAATTGAACTAATCATGATTAGTATCGTGTTTTATCGAAATCCATCTCTCATGACGAGATTTGATGGACAATTTGTCGGAGTACGTGGTCTGAACACAGGTGTTAACTCACAGTTTATATTTTTTCCTGAAGTAACAATTACATGTGATGTCTATATCTGTGTTAAGACAGATAATTTCCAATAATGAAAGTTTAATATCTGAATTGCTGCTTTGTTAGTCATAAATGATTATGTAAGTTATTAGTATACAATTAAAAATACTTTTTCTCGCAAATTACACGAATAGATAATAGTGTTATTCATAATTTCATTAGCTGCCAACAAAAAAGATGGTTTACTATACGATCGATCAGTCAATCATTTAAAGTAGCAATCAATCGACCAATCATGCAAGCAACCACCGAACAAACAAGCAAAATTTAAGATTATGCAAGGGTTACTTACCTGCAGTATAATATTGATTATACTAGTCCTCTGGAGGTTAGAATCACTAGGCGTTTCCCAGCCGCTTGGCGGTATAACCAGTCTTCAAAGCATAAATCCATAACCTTCCCGTCCTGCACTTTTCTAAACTGCACGGTATAGACAGGTACAAATCAAAATATTGGTATATTTTGCTTTGAATTTAGGTTATAGTGAGTTGTTTTACCTTAGGATTTGTTCAGGTAGAATTATGTCTACATCTAAGAACGTAGGTTCTGAAAGTGTTCCTGAAGCCTTAGTTTCGGCGAATTTTGGTGCTAAGTTGGCTCAGCCTTCTGCCGCGAATTCACGCCTCCCGTTTGTAGGACCAAACAACCAAACAATACAGTTATATGGCGCAATATAAGTGCTGCTGTCTCATTGACAAAAGAAAAAAGTTGATACGACACCGAGTGTCAGTTTTGCGCTCTTCCGCATTTTAAAGGCAGGGCCAGTCGACAACACAGAAACAAAATTCACAGAATCATGTGTACAGCTGTTATTTTTCAATTAACTTCCGAAAAATTCCTATTTTTTGAAATTTGCTTAATCTCTTCTGATATGTATAAAGTTTCTCTCTTAATGCTGACGTCATATCAATCAACTACGGTAGTTGGTTATCGAGGCTGTTGGGCGAACGTCCGCGACCCATGGGTTGCGTATTTGTTGAATTGAACCATTTTCTCTAACAAGTCAGTACATTGTGTGGTTGATATCACAGCCATCGTTTTAACAAGTCATGTAATAATAATAATAATTAAAAAAAAAGATAAAACACGAAATAATAAAAGACATATTAAAAATCCAGCGTTTGGTAATAATGACAAAACAACGCTTTTCTCTCGCTCACCGTGGTATCGGTCGTAATTTTCATATTTGTTTTACTGTGACAAAATGATTATAAAAGTAGTCAAACTAAATTTAAGTTACCGATCTCCATCACACCTGTTCGGCGTCGCTTTGACTTATGTCATTTGATTATCTTAAAAAATAATTACCAGATTTACTTTTTGGATTGTAAGTGATGAAACAGACGGTCATATATTGAAAGGTGATTAGCAACCATTTTTTTTTTTTAAATGAATACCAACAAATTTTCGGTTCTGAAAACTGTAATGGGTATAGATGCATTACAACTTTGCTGCCAATAAAGAACACGTACCGTGATGTGGACTCAATGACCAGGGAAAACAAAGCGCTTCGTAACCTAAATGAAAATGCGCTATATAAATTCCAAGCATCACACACATACCCCCCACACACACCTGTGTTAGGCCTATTTGAACTTTCCGTTTCAACATGCTATTCTCCCTTGATATCCATAGATACATTATGCCCAACTATTGGACCCACATCCAGTCTCAGTATAGAATTCAGGATGAAAAAGAATGGCTCTTATCTTCATATGACTGCTATGAAACTGCCTCTTCAAACTGGTCAAGATATGATAAACGGCTTTCTTCCTGCACGAATTATTCAGAAGGAATGCCAGTTTAATGCAAATTAATTGACATTTTGAACCATGCTGGTCCATAGGTTATCAAAGACATATCAACAATTATAAAAGCTCATAAAGTTCGTTGATGAACCCATCACACGTCGTGTTTAACTTAGGATTAACCGAGTTAAGTCCATGACAACTTCCTAATTGGAGAGATAAATCGACGAGTGATTGATTCAGACAGCGCCCTCGGAATTATCTCTGGATTTTCTCTGCAATGGCGCAACTTGGCGTCTGATTTCAATTGATGAAAATTATATAGACCTAGGCCTATATTTAAAACGAGTTGTGACCCAATATATAATTGATTTACTTTGAAAAATGAGTCCTATCATGATTGAATTCTTTCTTTCAAGGTCGCATACTTTCTATACTTCAAATACAAGTGTTTAATTCTGCGTCATGCGAAATATGCTGCAAACGCGTTAGACGAAAACTCAACAGTCTGGGTGTGCCCCGATTATCATACAGCCAGCAAACCACACAGTTCTCGTTAGTAGTATCACTCACAAACACTTGAACGAGAGCCTTCCCCCAGTCGATATTTGAAGTGGCCCACGATAAAACAATTTTTTTTATTTTCGGATGAATCAAGAGTGAGTGACGGCTGACAGTCAACCCGTCAATACTGTTTCAACTAAAATGTCAGATCATCAGACTAGCTTTTCCTTTTACCATTAGTATTATCTATGTGCCTAAAAATAATCATGTACAACATTGGTATTGGAGCAGACATGCTCCTCAAACCCAAAATATAGGCCTAGAAAGATTGGATAATAGTTAAACATTACGTGATTGTTAGCACTTTTTACCTGGTTCAGTTTTGTTCTGGTGATCTGACTAGTCGATGGCGGTCCATTCTTATGTTTTTTATTCACATTAACAACCTTTTAAGATAACCAACTCAGCACGGCTCTAAGCCCAAAGTGCTAGATCATGGGTTCTATAACGTGTTCTCATCACGTATTTGTTGCTCCCTGTCGCGTTTCGTTATCACCAGTCGTCTTCACGTTAGGTGGCACGTAAGGCCACCGCATGTCCTCTCAATTCTCACCGCATGTACACGCGTTTTCTCTCCACGACAGAAACATACTTTAACATGAATCAAACAGATTATCAGTTAATTATCCACGCACTGACGTCATCTCTTTAGAAGCAAACTAGTGTATTTCCACATTTAAGTAATATGTACAAGCCTATCCTATCGGTATATAATGTTAATCAAATAAATTTCTTCTGAGGTACAGTAGACAGCCATTTTGATTTTGGTTTTGTATCCCTGCCACTCTGCCTGTGCAGTTTATTGATTACTGTACATCAGGATGATGACCTGATGATGACATATGGTCGAAAGTAGTCATACAATAAATATTTTATTCTGAGGCAGATACATAAACTTTGTTTGATTTCTTATTTATGACTCTGCATATGCAGCAACC